AATAAACGTATCCTTCAGACATCCTTTATTTACTACTGATCCTGGAAATGTCTGTTTTTAGTCACACTACCCAGTTCCATTTGGAATGTTTTGTATCAATTATCCTCATTAGCAGATGATCGTCCTCTTTCATTCTGACATCTGCTAGAAGGAGCAGCTTGGGGAGAAGCCTCACTAGAAATTCCTGCACAGGCGCCTTCTCCTTTGCTAACAAAGGACAGCCCAAATGGTAACAGGACTGCACCGGCTGACCTAGTTCTGCCCTTAGTCAGGCACAGTGCGCTTGCTGCCACCAGTCCGCATGTCCTGCGCATCTTACAAATGACTCGCAAAGGCTGTCAAGCTGTTTAGGCTGACACGGTAACTGCCCACCCGGATGTCAATTTCATGTAGGCTTCTACGGGTCTCCTGTGCGTCATCCTTAATGCTCCTTGATGTACAACTCAAAATAATTTTAGGAATTCAAAAATTAATAAATCTAAATTAAGTTGAAAGACATTCCCAATCAAATGAATGCATGGCTGAGGGCCAGCAGGAGCTCCAGTGTAATGATTAGATACCCTTACTGCAGGACTCAAATGAGCAGAAATTCCTTTACAACGGAAGACAACTCAGTATGTGTATGTCTGGGGAAAAACTAGATCAGAATTAGAAATCCCTGGTTATTTTGGTAAAGAAATGAAAACGATAATCAAGTGGTAAAAGATAAACAGAAAAGAACACACATGCAAAGCACAAAATAAGGTACAACTCATTCTTCAGAAACACTTTACTCATTTTCGAGGAGAGCCTTCCAGCCCTTTACTATAGATCAGCGTCTACTCCTGCGTGCTTAAAGAAAGGTTCTCGATCAGTGGTTTCTGGGAGAGGCTCATCAACTGCAGTCCATGAAATATTTTCTTTGTTGTAGCCCTCTTGCCTATGGCAGGGTAATAAATACTATTCCACTCTAAAAAAGAAGTGAAGAACAGTTTGCCAAAATATTTCCCTCGTCTGAATCAATGGACTGTTTCTCATCTTTGCAAATCAACCTCTTGCATTTCCTGCATCCCACTGGCAAAACAACCGCGAGTAAAACCGGGGAAAGAATATTATCACGCATTGCATTCATTGGTTAAAAAAAATCATCATCTAGCACCAACTCCCTCCGAGCCTTGGAGGCCAGCGTATTGCAGTTTAAGTGCCTCACGAGAGGGAGCAGAGCTTCTCTAATGCGTCCCCACTGCCAGGGCCATTCAGGAGAGCAGCTCCACAGCCTTTTGGGAGAGGACATGGCGCTCTACTGAGCAAAGAGTGCAGCACTGAAGTGCTGATTTTATTACATTAGCTTTTGACTTTCTCTCCAAGCTTTTAGAGAGTGAGTACCTTCAATTGACCATCACTGGTGTTTCTCTCTCTCACTCTACAGGCAGACAGGACACCAGTACTGTTTGACTTTCTACCTCTGGGTTGGCAGGTGGCTGCGACCCAAGGCTGACAGCTCACCACCAGGTCTGCCTGCTCAGCCTAACATCCTGGTCCCATGGCACCTTCCCGACCCCAGTGCTGCCCCTATAGCCCAAAAGGATAGCCAGAGCTGAGCACAGGGCAGCACCCTGTCCATGATGGAGAGACCACCTCCTAGCTCACAGCCCCAGAAATCACCAGGTGTCTGTGTGCATGCCAAACACTGGGCAGGTATTTTTATACTGGTTTCTAGCTTTCAGGTTGAGAACTACTTTCTTTTAGGAACAAGTTGCTGTGCACCAGGGTGGTAGATAAAAGGAAACTAGACAAGTGTATCAGGCCATGCAAGGAAAAGCTGCTGAAGTATTAAAGCAGGAAGAGGAGGAAAATGAGGGGAAAAGAGGAATCAAACTATAAGCAGAGCTGGAATTTTTAAACAAGGAACAAAAATGCTTACGAGGCTCCAGAGGCCTGCCTTGTGGCCATTGCTGTCCAGGCCAGAGGTGAGCACCTCCCCATTGTGACCTGGCCCACCCACTCTCCCCGTGCACTTGTGAAACTCATCCACTCAGCAGCCACCACTCATGCTGTCTCACATCTTGCACCAAAAACCAAGCTCATAGTGAGCTAAAGAAAGTATTTCAGAAAGACTCTTAAAATGTACCCTGATAGTTCTCAGTCTTCTTAGTAAAGATCTTCTCTCTCAAGAGAAATATTTTCTCCTGTCCTTCAAGGGTAATGAAAAGCCACTCACTCAACACAAAATAGGATTTTGAGAATACTGAAAAACTTTGAAAAACATAAATGGTAATTATTCTAGTGTAAGTCTGAAAGCTATGACCCTGAGGCCCCTTTCATGCACAGAGCTGAGATGAAATGTCAGCAACCAACCTATATCTTGAGTTTTTCCCTGTGGACTGGGAAGACTACGACTCGGCCACAGATGGGGAGGCTTAGTCAAACACGGTGCCCCACCCAGGATGTACCACCAGACCCTGCTGATTTCATGCCCAACAAGAATAAGCATAAATGAAAAGATGCAGAGATTCTATTTTTCCATGTGCTTCCTTCAGGATTATCCAATGCTTAAGACCAGAGTAGGGGACATAAGGCAGCCCTTACTAAACATATTTCACAAACGAAGACTCCAAGACCCAAGGATACAAGGCTGTGCCACAAGCCACATGGCTGCCTAGGGACAAAGAAATGATGCCCATTCGTGACACATTACACACTATGCATCAAGACACAACTGCCCAGGGCCTATAATAACTTATAAATAAAGACCAATGAACTATTGCACCAGTTTTCCACCCTGATGAGAAAATCAATAATTAAAAACATATTCTGGGGCCAGGGATTTAGCTCAGTGGTTCCGCCACCTGCCTCACAAGTTCAAGGACCCGAGTTCGATTCCCAGTACCAAAAAGAAAAAAGAAAAAAAAATATTCTGCTCAAAATTTTTAATTGCCAATGACAAGGCAGCTGCAATTCAAAAACTACAGGTGTTATAAAGAACCCACATAGAAAGTACTGATCCATCATCTTGATTTATTCTACTCGTTATCTTTAAGATGCAATCATTTTGGAATGTGTGTTGTAAGGCACAAATGACAGGGAAGACAGGCTTTCTTCCCACCTCGCGCTCCACTTCGCGAATTCCTGTGACTCCACTTCGCGAATTCCTGTGACAGCAATGGGAGCGTGCACAAGCCTCCATTCCCAAGTTATTGTGCACGCTGACTCTGCATGGGGTCTGCACTGCTTCGGGTCCGCACAATTAAGCTCTCCTCCCAAAGGAGGGTATTTCCCAAGCTCCCGGTGCTGTCCATGGTCCATGCTCTGTGCTCTCAGCACTGCTCCCGGCCCCAAGGCCCCTGTGGGTTTTGGGGGAATCTCTGCCACCCAAGCTGCCACTCGCGGACCGCGCGCACAGTCTCAGGGAAGCACGCACCCCCGAGGTTCCGTAGGTATCCCTTGTGCGAGGGTCAAGTTGCCTACGCGGCCAGAGTCCCTCTCCCATCCCCCGCGAGGCGAGGCTGAGGGCGGGACCCCGCTCCCGATCCCATCCCCAGGATCCACATCCT